TACTACAACACGACCTATAATTCCTGAAGAAGATGAGGTAGAGGAGGACTTGGAGCAAGAGCAACACTCAAGTATGCCCAATGCGGAGGGGGAGGATTCAGACTACGTTGAGGATGATGATGATGTGAGCAATGACGATCAAGAGCCAACTAATGTTGACCAAGATGGTGAAGACAACACCAATGCCAATGAGTTTGATGATGATGACTTTTGATTGAGACTTTGAGAGTGGAGAGACATGAGAGAGCTGAGCTGGCCACCTTTATCCCTTTTGCTATGCTGGAATTATCTATTATTCTGTTTGTCTTATGTGGAATTATCTATTATTCTGTTTGTCTTATGTGGACCATTGCAGATTGCAGTTGCACTCATACTTGCTATCTTTCTTTCCACTTTTGTTTGCTGCCTCACTTTTATTTCTATTTTTTGTGGAATGTGCACTGGTAAGTGATACATTATTCTAACATATTTGTTCATGACTTCATGTTGATGCAGAATTCTGTTGGGGAGAAAAGCAAGTGCAAAGAGGATGGGGGCTCTACAACAATCAGTTGCAAGGTGTGTATGGCTGTATGCCTACCAAATTCTACTTAATTCTGTTGCTTACAAGTCTCTAAGGCGTCGCCTCGCCTTATGCCTCAGCGCTTAGGCAGTGAGGCGCCCCCCCAGCGCCTCGCCTCGCCTTACCGCCTTAAAAACATAGCTCAGTGGTGTGTATAAGATTGAAAAGGATAGACTCCTTTCTCTTATACAGGCCCTGGACATTAAGGCCGAGTCCACTATTTTACTGCCAGCTGAGCTTCAGGTTAAAACTGAGGCGGAGAAGAGGTTGAACTGCTCCGCGAAGAAGAATTGAAGTGGGCTTTGCGTGCTAAAGTCCGCAAAGTGGTCCAAGGGGACGCGAATGCTCAATTCTTTCATCTGATAGCTAATGGTAAACACAGAAAGAAGCGTATCTTTCAGCTTGAACAAGATGAGGGCACTATTTTAGGACAGGATAACCTAAAAATTTATATTACCAAGTATTATAAGCAGTTATTTGGACCTCCGGAGGATAATTGTGTGTCCCTCGATGAGTCCAGGACTGAGGATGTGCCTCAGCTATCGGCTGCCGATAATGATATTCTGGTTGCCCCGTTCTCAGAGAAGGAGGTGTTTGATGCTATTGCACAGATGAAAAACAATAAGGCTCCCGGACCGGATGGATTCCCGGCCGAGTTCTATAAAAAGTGCTGGCACATTATTAAGGGGGATTTGCTACATATGTTCCATGATCTGTTCTCTGGACAGCTTCAGTTATTTCACTTGAATTTTGGAACTATCACACTACTTCCTAAGAAAACGGATGTTGTGCGAATTGAGCAATTCAGGCCGATCTGCCTCCTCAATGTTAGTTTCAAAATTTTCACCAAGGTAGGGACTAATAGGCTCACACAGATTGCGCATTCTGTGGTGCAACAGTCCCAAACTGCTTTCATGCCGGACAGAAATATCCTTGAAGGGGTGGTCGTCCTGCATGAAACGCTCCATGAAATCCATTCCAAAAAATTAGATGGAGTAATTTTTAAGGTGGATTTCAAGAAAGCGTACGATAAGGTCAAATGGCCATTCCTCCAACAGTCATTGCGTATGAAAGGTTTTGATGAAGCCTGGCGCCGACAAGTTGACTCATTTACGCAAAAAGGTAGTGTGGGAATTAAAGTTAATGATGACATAGGTCATTACTTCCAGACACATAAAGGCCTAAGACAAGGAGATCCGATGTCCCCTATCTTGTTTAACATTGTGGTGGATATGTTAGCAATTTTGATAGGAAGGGCTAAGGAAAATGGTCAAGTAGGTGGATTGATACCTCATCTTGTTGATGGAGGTGTTTCCATCCTTCAGTACGCTGATGATACAATTATCTTTATGGAGCATGACTTGGCCAAGGCAAGAAATATGAAGCTTGTGTTATGCCTATTTGAACAATTGACCGGGTTAAAGATTAACTTTCATAAGAGCGAGTTGTTCTGCTTTGGTAGAGCCAAAGACGAACAGGAGCCTTATAGGCAATTGTTTGGGTGCGAGTTGGGAGAGTTACCCTTCTCTTATCTGGGTATTCCAATCCACCATCGTAGGCTGACAAACAAAGAGTGGAAGTGCATCGGGGACCGATTTGAGAAGAAACTGAGTTGTTGGAAGGGTAAGCTCATGTCATACGGAGGCCGATTAATCCTGATTAATTCGGTGCTCACGAGTATGCCTATGTTTCTCCTATCGTTCTTTGAGGTCCTAGTTGGGGTTAGGAAGAGACTGGACTTCTATCGATCGCGTTTCTTTTGGCAGGGTGATGAGCTTAAACGAAAATATCGGCTTGCTAAATGGGATATCATTTGTAGACCGAAAGACCAAGGGGGTCTCAGTATTGAGAATCTAGAAGTTAAGAATAGATGCCTTCTTAGCAAGTGGTTGTGGAAGCTCTCAACGGAGAATGATGCCATGTGGGCTCAAATCCTTCGTACCAAGTACCTCCAGACAAAAACTTTGTCCCGGGTTACAGTCAGGCCGACCGATTCACCTTTCTGGAAAGGTCTGATGAAAGTCAAACAATCTTTGTTTAATAGGATGAAGTTTGTTATTGGAAACGGCACTAGTACACGTTTCTGGGAGGATACTTGGCTCGGCGAGACACCTTTGGCCATCCAATATCCGTCTTTGTACCGTATTGTTCAACGACGTGAAGTGTTCGTCGCATCGGTATTTCAATCTATCCCCCTTAATATTCAGTTCCGACGGACGCTAGCGGGCAATCATTGGGAAGAATGGCTCCGTCTAGTTAGGAGACTGATGGAGGTCCAGCTTTCCCAACAACCCGATGAAGTACGCTGGAAATTGACTAAGTCCAGAGTATTCACTATTAAATCAATGTATATTGATGTTATTAATTCAAACTCCATTCCTACTTCCAAGCATGTTTGGGATGTCAAAGTTCCTTTGAAAATAAAAGTGTTTATGTGGTTTGTCCATAAACAAGTTATTTTAACCAAGGACAACTTGATAAAGCGTAATTGGACAGGACCTACTAGGTGTAGTTTCTGTGTTCGGGATGAGACAATCAAACACCTTTTTTTCGATTGCCCGTTGGCCAAAGTACTTTGGCAGACGGTCCACATTGCTTTTAATATCAATCCACCGAATTCTGTTAACGCGTTATTTGGGACATGGCTTAATGGGATTGAGCCTGACTTCGTGAGACACATTCGGGTTGGAGTTTGTGCCTTGCTGTGGACTATCTGGACTTGCAGAAATGATTTGGTTTTTAACAGAATATCATGTATCCATTTTTTGCAGGTTATATTCCGAACTACGGCACTGATCCGTTCGTGGTCGCTACTCACCCCGACGGAGGCCAGGGAGCATTTGGTTACTGGGTCTTTCCGCTGGGAGATGGTAGCTCGGGATATCTTCAACCGGTTTGGATGGCGGTCATGTAATAGGATAGGCATGTAGTTTACCTATCTAGTTCTAGCCAGCCGGTTGTGGCGTCTTTTCATGGCTAGTGGGTGTTTCTAGCCTTTTTGGCTCTGTGTGAGCTTTCTTTGCTTCGTTATTACTTGTGGAGACCTTCGAACCATGTTGGCACTACTTTATTTGGTTAATAAGATGGCCGTATGCATTTTTCTGATGCAGAGGCCGGGGAATTCCCCCTTTTCGAAAAAAAGGCACATATTGGAGAAAATTCCTTATTTGACACTGTCTTAAAATCGGGTTCCTTATTTGACACTGGAAAAGTTTTTCTTCCCTATTTGACACTAGTCCTAAATTTTATTCCCTATACGACACTTCCGTTCATTTTGAGTCTAAATGACACCTGAAAAGACGATTTTGCCCCTCATGTGGTATGTGTGCGCGCGTGCGTGTGCTGTTGCGTGTGTGGGTGCAGGCGCACATGTGTGCTGCTGCTGCATGTGTGTGTGCATGTGTGCTGCTGCGTGTGTGTTTGCTACTGCGTGTGTACGTGCGCGTGTGTGTGTTGTTGCGTGCCTATGTGTTGCCTGCGTGTGTGCTGCTGCGTGTGTGTGTATGTGGGTGTGTGCTGCGTGCGTGTGTGTTGCTGCGTGTGTGTGTGTGTGTGCGTGTGTGTGTGTTGCACGCGCGCGTGCGTGTGTGTGCGCGTGCGTGTGTGTTGGTGCATGTGTATGTGTTGATGCGTGTGTGCTTCTGCTTTCGCACTGATGCTGCGTGTGTGCGCTATTGCCCCCCACACACATACCACATGAGGGGCAAAAGAGTCTTTTCAGGTGTCATTTAGGCTTAAAATGGACGAAAATGTCATATAGGGAATAAAATTTAGAACTTGTGTCAAATAAAGAAGAAAAACTTTTCCAGTGTCAAATAAGGAAGCAGATTTTAAAAGGAAAACTTCTCCACATATTGTGCCCCTCTTCTTTTTATTTATTTCCCAATCCAGCATACAATCTCACAGCCCTTGTGCACGTATATATGAGACCAAAGCTAGCTAAAGCTAGACCTACTCAACTTAGGACAATTAGCAGTTAGCACAACTCGGAATCGAATTACTACTGAGTCCTGGCCAGCACGTAGACCTATACTCATATCCGAATCAACTAGCACCAAGGCATGGAAAATCGGAAACCAACTCCAACACATGCCCGTAAAAAAAACTGTCCTAATTAGAACTAACTAAACCCTAATCGGACTAGCATTACTTAGACTTACGGCAAGCAAACACAAACCTGATTACAATTCAACTGGACTGCATTAGAGGCAATATTGTCTCCAACAAAGCATGCATACACATGCCCAGTAATCGATGATACAATGACAAATATATGAATGAACGTTTCCGGGAATTAAATATTTTTTCATTGCTAAAATAAAATGTGGTGACAAATAAACCTACAAAGTGGTAAATAGTTTATTAAAGTCATGAAAGTAAACAAAATTCTAATTAGCAGTTGCCATGGAATAAATCTCACTCCCGGAGATGGTCATACCTCATTTTCTGATATAGCTCCTGAAGGAATAGGACGATAAGGCTCATTAATAGCGTCGATGTCTCGGTCATACCAGTCATTAATTGTCTACAAGCAATAATTTTTGAAGCTGACATATTCTTTAGTAAAAATAGTTTTCCATGAAACATGTGAGGTTGCAAAATATGAATAGATCAAACACGATGAATCTAAAATAAACCTGCGTGTATCCTGTAAGACATGGACCAGACATTAACATGCAAACAATAGATTTTGCAACATCTTCAACTGTCCAGTGGAAATTTCCTGCAGCATGAGAGGTTCAAATAAGCATAACAGTTGCATTGTACACCAAGAGGAACAGCATTCATTAGCACAGAAGCCATAATGGTATTGTATTCTCATCCTAAACGCTAGAAGTTCTAGACGTCTGACAAGAGGGGAGAATAGTATTGTTGAGTTGCCATGTGTTGTTTTGTTGCAGAAATTGGGTGAAGTTTCCTGTAGTCAATCAATATTCAATTCTTTGGTCCACTCCAAAATAAATATATGGGACCAAGGATAGTGAGAAAGATACTGTAGGCCCACAGATCATATCGACACCATTGCAAGCCAGCACAACTTAAATCACCATGTTACAGATGACTAGCAAATCTAAGGAATGTGGCACAATGTAACAACGATGCATCTCATATGGAAAAATATAGCTGTCCAACTCCAACTCCAACTCCACTTAAGTATAAACTATTCATGTACAGATAGAAACCATAATAGTCGATAAAGCATACCAGAGGCAGCTGCTCCACAAAGTACACCCCAGACAAGCGGAGGCCATGTCACCGGCTTAGTAAGTTGAAGGCGGATCTTCCATATGTTCTGTATATGCAGCATGATAAAGAGGGGGTTAATGAGCAAATTATCATTTCTAGTCCCTACACAAAATTAGCTAGATAGTGATTAGTCTAAGCACAAAGCTAGTACACACAAGCCATGCTCGCAACTCCATAAAACATACTCCACAAAAAGGTGAAATTCATAAATTTCAGCATCCACAGCCAGACACTTTGCATCTGCTGCATGCTGAATCCCGAATTCAACGCATGCCTGACCAACCAGCCAACTAACAAACGACTCCGATTTGGATCCATAAATACTAATATTGCGATGAGAAACCAGTTCATGGGAGCAGATTAATGACTCACGTCTTCTTGCTTGGCGCCCTTGATTCCGAGCAGCTGGTTGAAGCTCGAACCCGCCGCCGGCGCCTTCTCCGGGACCTTCGGCTTCGTTGCTACCGTGCCCAACACAGTAAAACAAATCACACGTCAGAACTTCAGCCGAAACGCCCAGGAATCAATCGCGGAACAAGCTGAACTTCACAAGGAACGGCGCGCACTTTCTTTAGCGTCGGCGTCGGCCGCGCGGACCACCGGGAACGGCCGCCGCCCTGCGAACGGAACTCACGTGCATCAGCACAAGACGCGGCAGCATAGATACACAGTAAAGTAATAGGCCAGAGAGGAAGAGGGTATACGGCTGAGGGTTAGAGAAGGAGGCGGCAGGGAGAGGAAGCGGAGAGGGGGGCGGAAGGCGGCGGAGGAGGAAGATGTGGCGGCGGCGGCGGCGAGGAAGTGGGAGGTGGCCATGGGGAAGCGGGGGAAGAGGAGACGGCCACTAGCTGCTTGGAGTGGACAGTGGGAAGTGGGAGGGGGAGGATAACGCCGGCGCAATTCGTGCCTGTTGGCCGGCTTTGCCCGCCCAAGCCTAGAATTGGAATGGTTCCGGGAAATGGATTTAACTATACCGATACCGAATTGGATTTATAGTTTCGTGTAGAATATTAATTCAGTCATTATGATTTTCATTATGTAACAAATGTTTGCATGAGAAAACTGTTAGGGCATCTCCAATGCTGACAATCAAACTATCGACATCCGTCTCAACTCGTTCTACTCTCGCAAGTATTCGCAACTACCAAAAAAGAACTAAAATAAATCTAAACATAGTATAAAACATATGAATCCAAATCAGCTTCTTACGAAATAGCGCATAAACTAGGGTTTAAGTTTCTGTCACTCTAACAACTCATCATCTAATAAGTACTACCTTCGTTCGGGTTTATTGGGCCTGCTAGCCACCCAACTGCGTCCATTTTAACAAGGCCGCTAGACAATTACCTCAATTCCCTTCGCTAGGCATGTGCACGATTGGTTGAAAATGCGAGCGGCCAGCTGCATGCAGAATCGGAATACCAACCAGCTTCATGCAATGAATATGAACTGGTCTGTTACTGCTGGACGTGGCCATGATTGGCTGCATGCAAAAAAGGAAGCGGGCACCCGCTGCATGCGCTAGTCTGGTTGGCTCCGAAATCACGCATTAGCAGCGTTAATATCTTGTCATGGTCTTTGTGTTTTGGCTAAAGGGCTCAATAAATACGGAGTCCCGGATGAGATCACGGACATGACAAAGAGTCTCGAAATGGTCGAGACATAAAGATTCATATATTGTAAGGCTACATTCGGACACCGGAATGGTTCGGGTCGTTTCAGATAAGTTTCGGAGTACCGGAACACACCCCCCCCCCCTCCGAGAAGTTATTGGGTCTCATGGGCAAAATGGTGGAAGAGAGGAGGCGGTCCAAGGTGTGGCACGCGCCCCCCTAGCCCAAACCGAATTGGACTAGGGCTAGGGGAGCGCCCCCCCCCCCTTCCTTCTCTTCTTC